CTATTATGAATAATGCTGTTTTGAATATTCCTGCTTATGTGCACCCATTTCTAACATATTCACTTTGGAGTAGAATTGCTAGATCATAAGATATGCATATGATATACTTTATTGGGTAATGCCAATATTTTTCCATTATTTAAAGCAGTTTATATTATGCCATCCTTGCCAGTTTTTGAATTTGTTAGACTTTCAATTTTTTTTAAAGATTTTATTTATTTATTTATTTGACAGAGACACAGCGAGAGAGGGAACACAAGCAGGCAGAGGCAGAGGGAGAAGCAGGCTTCCCGCGGAGCAGGGAGCCTGATGCGGGGCTCGGTCCCAGGACCCGGGGATCTTGACCTGAGCCGAAGGCAGACGCTTAATGACTGAGCCACCCAGGCGCCCCTGGACTTTCAATTTTTATCCACTGGTGTCTTGTTGTGGTATATAATAATGGCTTTATTTTTTATTTTCCTTATTTCTAATAAGATTGAGCCTCTTTTATTGCATTTATTGGCCATTCTGATTTTTTCTGATGTAACTAATTCCAATCTTCGGTCCATTTTCTCTTATCAGGCTATTTGTTTTACTTATTGATTTGTAGTCATTCCTTATGCATTTTAGATATAAGCTATTTTTTAGTTATATGTATTGCAAATATCTTCCCTCTGTCATTTTTTCTTTTTATTCTTTAATAGTGTCTTTTGAATAACAAAATGTTCTTAATTTAATAAAATCAAACAACATATTTTAAGTCTGCTTTTGTGATGATACTAAAATAATTTTTTTCATCTTAAGACATCAGGATATTTCTTGAGGTCCTCAAGGTATTTCCTTATTTTCTAAAAACTACATTTCCCATCCTCTCTCCCAGTCATTGAAAATGGCTTTTGTGCCCTACTTCCCTGAAAGTGTAAATGCCGTCAAACTGATATTTCCAGTTTCAGTCCCTTCTCTGAGCTACAGATATGTATTTATAGTTGTTTGTCTGAACTGAATGTTTGTACAACTCAAATGTAACAGGTTCAGAAAGAAACTCATTTTTTAAAAGATTTTATTTATTTATTTGAGAGAGAGAGTGTGTGTGTGTGAGCATTTGTGTGCAAGCAGAAGGGGGAAGGACGGAGGGGGAGGAACAGAGAGGGCTAAACAGATCCCACATGCAGTGCCGAGCCCAACAGTGGGGTTCTCCCTGGGGCTTGACCTGGGACTCCATTCCACGACCCTGAGATCATGACTTAAGCAAAAATCAAAAGTCAGCTGCTTAACCAACTGAGCTACCCAGGGTGCTCCAGAAAGAAACTTTTAATTCCCCATCCTCAAACTGGGTTCTCCTCCCAAATTTTCCTTTCAATTGTTCAGGCTCAAAATTTGAGTCATTCTTGATCACTCCCTTTCCCTCAGCCCCTAAGTCTAGTCTAAAGGTAATTTCTGTGTTTCTTTCTACAAATATTTCCTGAATTTCACGTATTTTTCACCATCTTCACTATTAGCTCCTCAATCCAAGTAAATCCCATCATTTCCCTGGATTATTGCAAGTCTTCTGACTTGTCTCCCTTCTTCTACTTTTGTCCTATTCTAGATGATTTGTTTCATGTTTCATGTTGATTAAACAAACAATGTCCCAATGCTTGGCAATTCCTCTTTCTCTCAAAGATCTTAGGCTCCCTCAAAATTATTTCCTTATTGTGGGTAGACTCCTAGCCTGGAAGGGACCATGAAATGATCTGTTGTTTTTAAGCCTGACCCATGGCAGAAATCCTCCAAAACATTTCTGCCGGTGATCCTCCAGCTTCTGCTTAAGTATTTCTCTTGTTAAGGGACCTGTTCCTTCAAAGGACCAACTGATTCTTATAGAAATTAATCACTAGAAATAAATGGGGAAATGACCTGTTTTCCCCATAGGATATTAATCGAAGTGATTGATTAGAAATGAGAAGGACTGTGTTTTGCGATTTGGATTATATAGACTTATGAAAAATATAAAGAAAAAAAACCTATTTTGGATCTGTTTGAACTGTTTAATGTTTAGCAAACTGGAAAATAGGAATTGAATTGTGTAAATTAGAGCCTGTGACAGATTTAGATAAATAGAAGTTCTTTGTTCCATTCTCATATAACCAGAGAGTAATTGTTATTCATGGCAAATCAATGCTCTGGAAGACTCATTTCTTTTTTTAAGATTTTATTTATTTGACAGAGAGAGACAGCGAGAGAGGGAACACAAGCAGGGGGAGTGGGAGAGGGAGAAGCAGGCTTCCCACTTAATAGGGAGCCCGAGCCCAGTGGAACTCAATCCCAGGACTCTGGGATCATGACCCGAACTGAAGGCAGACGCCTAATGACTGAGCCACCCAGGCGCCCCTAGACTCACTTTTTTTGGTAAGATTTTATTTATTTATTTGACAGAGGGAGACACAGCGAGAGAGGGAACACAAGCAGGGGGAGTGGGAGAGGGAGAAGCAGGCTTCCGGCGGAGCAGGGAGCCCGATGCGGGGCTCGATCCCAGGATGCCGGGATCAGGACCTGAGCCAAAGGCAGACGCTTAATGACTGAGCCACCCAGGGGCCCCTGGAAGACTCACTTTTGATATTAAGAAATATTTTCCCTGAATCTTCTAGGACCTCCACACCCTTCTTTTGTTATCTTGTAATAAATATCTTACTCTTTATCACTGCATCCATCAAGTTATATTGTATGCTTATCAACACCATCATTCTCTGGGTGTCTTAAGTGTAGGTACGATGTCTTATTTATCTTAATTTTATTAGTGTCTAGTAGAGAGCCTAGAATAGCAAGACTCAATAAATTTGTTAAATGAATGATCTACACTCTGCAATTAAGGCTTCCAAGTAGTGCAATGAACAGCCACTTGTTTGCTTTAAACTTTCTTGGATAATTCTCTTTTCAGTTGTTCTGCTCACTATTTTAAACCCAAGAGGATTCAGTTTGAACATCAAATATTCACTTTGTTTGCCTTGTTTTTTTTGATGGTTAGTCTGTGTTTTCTATATGCTGAACAAGGTTTCCCCTGGTATTAATAATTTTTTCTGGCACTGAATTAGGGTGCTAGAAAGTTTTTGCCAGAGTTTCCAGAATGATTTTTTTTAAGAACTGAAAGGATTTATGAATCACCGCTCTTCCCACAAATGTACAAAATTGTTTTCATTGAGTTATTTAGCTCTCAGGAAATGGAACCCATCAGTATATTAAAAATAAGAAAATAAAAAAGAAGCTCTTAATAGGTATTCTGGTATTCAAATATCTCTTCATAAAAATAAATATATTTATTAAATAATATTTTATTTTCAATAAATTGAATTTGTTCTATTTTCTGCTAAATAAGTACTTTATATAGCTTTCAACATATAGGAATAAACAAAAATATGATCATATATGTGAGGGCATGTACACACACACATACACCTATACACAAAACACACCCCCCTTGAGGCTTACTCTAAATTACCAGTTTAATGTTGTCCTCACAAGGTAAAGCCAGGGAGTGTCAAGCTGGATGCTTGCCTCAGTTACAGATCTTGATTATAAGGCAGCAGAAAGTACCAAGCCTTTAGAGTCTACTTAGCAATTCTCTTGTTGGAGAACCAATTAAATAAATTGGATTGTCCTTCATAATCATAACTTCCCTAAATATTTAGGTAGGGAAATAGTTTTAATAAAGTTTGTTTGAAATAAAGTGTACCAACAATTTGTACATTTCATCAAGTTGGTTAAATTTTCAACTTCTTTTCCTTAAAAGTAAATGACTTCACTGTAGGTCTCTTCACAATTTACATGAGGAAATACAAGTAGTTTGCCTCACAACGCATGTTGTTGTTCTGATACCCAGGTGTTGTGTTAGGTTTTAGAAGAGAGAAGCCCTGACACATAGATGGTCATGCATAACCAAGCTTCAGTTAATGCTAGGATCCCATAAAAATTCAGTTACATTCATGATTCAGATGACATAAATTGCTGTGCCATTGAATTTTAATGGATTTTATTTATATTCTTTGGTAGTGTGTATGTAGGGAAGAGAAAGGGAGAAAGAAAGAGGAAGAGAGGGAAAAGTTTCTTTTCTAAGATAATTCTATTAAAATTAAACTATTTAACCTTTCTCTTTGCAAAACAACTCTTCACATGTGATGAAATTCATTACTTGGATTTAGCTATTGAGGATCCTTAAATTCTCAAAAATAACTGCCACTGGGTGATCTTTAGTTCTTAAGATTACTCCTATGTAGTTGTTCAAAAGCATTGTGTAGTTTTAAGTTAGCTGAGAAGGTTGTGTTGGTGTATTTCATCACTTTATGGAGGAAATAAAGTCTCTCTTTTATATAGATGAAGGATATTTTTAATAAAAGTCATCATAAAATTAGAATTCATTGGGTCTCTGTTGAGGAGTGACAGCTTTGCTCTTAAATGCCTGAAATTCATCAGTTCCTATGCGAGTGTATTTTTATAGGATAACTAAGATTGCTGTAGGATTGTACAGTGACTTCACATATTTAATTCTAGGACTAATACCAAATAGAGTATTGCATAACCAGAAATTTCAAATAAATACTATTTTTCTTGCCTCATGCTATTCTTTCTGTCTTGAATGTTATTCTGCCACTTCTTCCTTTGCGAGTTTCTATATTTTGCCCAGTGTCAGTGAGACTTTTCAGAGAAGACTCCTCTGACCCTGCAGACTTGTCCAGATTCCTCTGAAGTCTACTCTCAGGGTAACTGTTTTTCTCATTACTAGCTCTTATCACAACTGTAGTAAGATTGTTACCTCTGTAACTAGCTTACATGTTTCCCTTGGCCCACAGCTACAATACTATGCGATATTCATATAGCTTTCTTGAGAAAACATAGAATCCCTAGTAATAAAGAACAGATAGTGTTTGTGAAACCATATTTATGTAACAGGAAATTAAAATAGGGCACTTTTAGTCTCTTTTGCACCTGAAAAGGAAAGGTTTGGAATTTTAGACAGACACCTGCATACAGACTTTGCCACAGAGATGCATTTATTGTGCTAGATGCCAGTTTTTTCGGTTATCCAGTCGCGGTAGGCTGTCACTCGAGTGTACACTCCTGGTTTATCTGGCAGACCACATTGATCCCCCCAGCTTACTATCCCCACGAGGAACCAAAGCCGCCGTGAGTCCTCTTGAACTAGTGGGCCGCCAGAATCACCCTGAAGGAAACACAATGATTAAGTATGAGACAACCCTAAAGTATTCAGGAGTTTATTTCTATGTCAGAAATCACATCAATTACCACAGTAAATAAATTTAGTCTGATATTTCCTGTTGAAATATTATACCAAGTTGAAATACTATACCAATTTTCAAGTGAAAATTACCAAAATCTTTCAAGAACACTCATTCCTTCAGCAGTTATGAGAAGATGAGAAGCATGTTTCCCAGACTGTCCTCAGTTGCCCAGCTGACTGCTTCCCATCCCAGACTTTACCTCCTCCAGAAAGCTTTCTTGGCCTGTGTCCCCACCCCCCCACTGCCACCCCTTCTGACTTTGGACTGGATTAGTTTTTCACTGCCTGTGTTCCCACGTCCTGTGTGTATCTCTTTCACCGCTTCTGTATTATTTTATACAAGCACATTGTGTGTCTGTTTGAACTTAATCCCTTGTACCAGTTCCCCTGGTGGCAGCCACACATTGCTGCCAAACTCATGGCACATAGGATATTTGTTCAGTGTCTGTCTTCTTGGTTGTTCTATAAGGACCTTTATTCGGGACACTGTTGTATCCTAAGCTTCTAGTGCACAGGAGAAGCTAAGGAAATATTTGTTGGATGAATGAGTCTTCAGAAGTCTCATTTATCTTCCTATTCGTAGTCCTGCAAGGTGTCTGATGCATAATGTATCCTCAAAAAGTATTCTTTGGTGAATAATCAGAAAAAATTATATGGCAATGCATAAAACACTCCTTATGAAATACTTACCAATTATAATCAACCAACTAACAAATATTTGTACATGCAGTGATCTAGGTGCAGAGGCAAATTTAGTCCGTTTTACATGCTGCATGATAGGTTATGTCTGTGGGTTCTGGACTTAGATAGCCTGGGTCAGAAGCCTCCACTTATCAGCCACATGACCTTCAGTAAGCTGTTTAATGCTAGCTTTTTCTGCCTCAGTTTCCTCATCTGTGAATAATGTTTCTATGTATTTAAATGAGTTTTACACACACAACACTTTCAGTACAGCCTGGCAGCTAGTCTGTACTGATAAAAGTCAGTTATTACCAAGGGTGCTTTTAGAATAGTTTGCTATTCATTTGACTACTCCTAGTAGCTAGCTCTTCATACCTACTAAATTACTGGTCTAGATGGGGAGAAGGGTCAGTGTGTGAATCACCAACTTGCATGGCAAGCACTGCATGGAGCTGATTGGCACCTGCATCCTTTGGGTTGAGTGTTTGTGCTCCAGTTAACCAGTTCTCAGTGCTTTTTCATCATTGTGTTTTTGTTACAATTTTTTCTTTCTAGGAAGAAATTTCTCTGCATAATGTCTTGCCAAGACTGGGCAAACAGATGTTAAACTAAGAAGGATGTGTAATTTTCCCTGTATCTGGACAGCTTCACTGTCTGATTGTGACTTTTGCGGACTATAGCTTTGATGAGAGCAAGGAACACATTGCTGTGCTAGCACAATATCTGGTGCACAGAAAGTAATCCATACGTTTTCTTTGAATGAATGAATGAACTGAAACAAGTATGATCTCATAAGCTCTTTTGTAAAGTGCTATTACTTTACGTGGCACAAACTCTATGTATTGTAGCATTTCAGTTGAAAATTACTGGGTCTGGAGTAGAACACACAGGGGAAGTTTCATGATGAGTTAAGGCTTGATCTGGGCTTGAGGGGAAGAGCAGAATTTGTGTATGCAGAAGGTAAGGGGCATCTTGAGTAAAGCATGAGTAAGTGTTCTCTACTACAAAGACATCTCCACTTAAAGGGTAAAGGCCAATGGGTAGTTAGTGGTGTTTTGAAAATTGATAAGCAGTTCCTCTCCATTTACACACACCTTGCATTCAATAAAAATGTTTAATTTTGGGAAAATGCTCATAGATTGCGATCTTGGAAAAAACTGTGGAAAAGCTACTTCTTATCTGCTTTTTCAAGAATGTGAGCACTAAATATAAAAGTCACTAATGTTTGAGGAAAGAATAAACCTGATTCTTCTGCATACAATTTGCTCCAGAAAACAGCAGCAGATTCCTCAAGAAAAGACTAATTTTTCTTAAATTTCCAGAAATGTAATTTCTGATAGTAAGTAGTTGTTGCTGTTATTATATGGGGTTTCAGACATAGGATTAAAATCTACTAAAGGACATAACCACATTAATTGTTTAGATAATTTAATTAAAATGTTAGTATTAAAACCCTATTCTAATTACTTTAAGATTTCATAGTTATTTGCATTTTTTATGTTTGGTTGAAAATGACAGGCTAAGTAGTTTCCCCCCCTCATTTGTGCTGTTTTACAGTTATGGAAACTATTGTGACTCAAGTAACTAAGCTTTTGGTGTATATTCTCTATCTTCAAGGTGCTGATATTCAGGTGTTATTTATATTTTAAAATCAATTATTATCTATGACTCTTAGATGAGTGATTAATTTGTTTAAACCTTTATAGTGATTGAAAGTTTGAGATTGAAATTATATTTTTTTTTCAGAGATTGAAGTTATTAATCAGTGGTCATGGTCTAGGTTAGCAACAGTAAAAATAGCTGAGATGGCGGAGATTTCTTTGTTGTTTAGCACATGCCTGACATAGTTAATCTTCATCTACTCTTTAATGTTACCTAAAAAGTTCTGTACTTACTATTATCCCCATTTTATAGATAAAAGAATTGGTTACAAAGGGTAAGGAATTGAAAAATGCAGTTCTGTATTGTTCTTGAGTTTGGGTGGCTAAACACTCTGGAATTTGGTTTCTCAAAATTAGTGTTGGATCACCTTCATAAAACAGTTTTAACTCGAAAATCTAGATAACAAATTTTTAGAGGATCAGGGCTGTGTATTATAATTATGTTACCTCTGTGACTATCACAGTGTCACAGGCTAGTAAGTACTTATAAACTTGGATAATGATGTGATAACATTGTCATGAACTTACCCGGCATGCATCCACTCCACCTTGAGGTAGACCAGCACATAGCATTCCAGGCAAGACAGCTCCATTATAACTAGTTGGTGCATTACATACATCATTACTTATTATTCTGACCCGTGCTTGCTGTAGATCTGAAACTGTGTTACCTGTGAAGTATAAAAGCAGAAATAAAATGGATAAATTAATAACTCTATGGCAAATATGGAAAGGAATAAATGTATCTGAAACATTATTTCTTATTCAGCAAAGCAGTCTATTGAAGATGTAAATAGGAGTTTCTTCTCAGCCAAGATTCCTATAGTAAAGTAGAATAACCCCTTTACACATAACAATTTTATCTTATTTCTTTTTGCTTTAGCTTTGTGATGCAGTGCCCCTTAGACCTTGAGAACAAAACAAATCTGCTATTGACTAGTAGCATTTAAGTTATTCACTGATTGACTTTGAATTGGAAAAATAACATATTGAGTTAACCTTTAATCTAGCAATGAAAGAGAAACCAGTCTGGTTTCAAGGCTAAAGAACTAATTTATTTTACACTGATGTTCCTTCAAAGTGGCACTGCCATTTTTGTGAGTGGTACAAATTTTATCTATTTTACCAAATTACTTTGGGTCATGAAAACACAATGAGAATTAAGCTTTCATATTATTCCTTGGAGACACAATCTACAACATGACCTGAAGCATGTGGAAATTGTTAAATGCTATCCTTCCACACCCTGGCTGATATTCTTATTTTCACCATGGCCCTATTTGTTCTTTCACATTGCCCTCATTTTTATGCCTATTTTATTCATTCAATAAACAAGAGTGAGCAATGCTTATGTACATGTAGAGTTTCTTGCTCTAGAGGTAGGATTCATTTCATCTCAGAATACCTTAATGGTTGTTAATACCTTAGAGGGTGTTAAAACCCTTAGAGAATACCTATCCAAATCTTCTTTTCATTTTTTTAAAACTTTTCTTTATTGGGGAGACATTTGAGACCTATAGAGTCTCTGGATTACTGAAGAACTCATGTTTCTTTATCACTTTCTCTTACATGTTCCTATTACTATGTTTGAGAATTCCCCATAGTTTGTAGGGACATTGCTTTGCTTTGCTGAGGAAACTCAGTAATAACTAGAGGTTGGGTTCATCAGATTATAAGATGTTTCTTTCCATAGAATATGTCCTTCAGGTGTTCCCTAATTTAAAAAAATTACATAACAGCAAGTACCAGGAGACTTTTTGTTATTGTTGTTTTATTTTTCCTGAGACACTTACCACCAAATTCTCGAGATCCCCATCCTGTTACATAAGCAGAAGAACCAGGTGGAATATTCTGGGTAGCCTCTGGGAGACACACCCTATGGATATTTTTGGTAAAGTTTATGCCTTCATCAAGTTGTATAGCTGCAATATCATTTTCATGAGTTGCAGGGTTATAATTGTTATGGATTAAAATAGTCCTTACTCTTCTTCTCTGTTTAGGAAATGTTATTGAAACACCAAAGGTGGCAGTCCATTGACGAGGATTAGATTGGCTAAAAAAATAGGAAAACATATTTTGAATAGGGAATTTGTGAGCGTTTCGAATATTTGAATTTTGTGTTTATCATCCTTGTCACCAGCTAGCAACTATTTGACCAATTTCTCTTTGGTATATATTTCTGGATTACATAGCTAGTAAATGAATCATCATTTATCTAAAGGGTCTGTGAATTGGGGGTTGATTAACTCAATGTTGTTACTATGGTTGAATAAAAATAAAATGTAACTACATAATAATGTAAGAGTTTTGTGGAGTTTAGATAGAGCTGATACAGAAATAAAAATTATATATCCAGGAAGTAATTTTATAAGGTACAATAGCTTATATAAGAGTGAATGCTAGGAGCGCCTGGGTGGCTCAGTCATTAAGCATCTGCCTTCGGCTCGGGTCATGATCCCAGGGTCCTGGGATTGAGCCCCGCATTGGGCTCCCTGCTCAGCAGGAAGACTGCTTCTCCCTCTCCCACTCCCTCTGCTTGTGTTCCCTCTCTTGCTGTGTCTCTCTCTGTCAAATAAATAAATAAAATCTTTAAAAAAAAAGAGTGAATGCTAGTTAAAAATTCTAAAGAAAAAAAGTACTTTGCAAGCAAATTACACGAATTTTTCATATTGAACTTCTTTTGCTCAGGGTCTTTACAGAGAAGATTCTGAAGATATTCTTCATCTCTTTCTTCCCTCTTTTTTTTTTTAATCCAGAAAGTGAATAAGAGCATGATTTTGGAAAAAGTTTCATTTAGATTTAAATCTTGGCCATGCCATACATTAACAGTGTTATTTAGGGCAACTTATTTCCTATCTCTAATTCTTATTTTGTTTTTGCATAAAATGTGATTGATGATATGCTCTCACACAGTTTGTAAGTATTGAGACAGGTGTGTCAAGCACAGTGTTTGGTGCACAAAGTAAGCTCTCAATGAAGCTAACTTATTTTCATTAGTTAGAGTTGAACAAGTCATTACTAAGTGTCTACTTTGTATAAGAAACAGTGGGAGTGTCTGGGAATAAAAATATAAATAAGTATGCTACAGCAATCAGACAAAAAAAAAGACAAAAGACATCTGAATCAGCAAGGAAGAAGTACAACTTTCACTAATGCAGATGACATGATACTATATCTAGAAAACCTGAAAGACTCCACCAAAAAAACTGCTAGAACTGATAAACGAATTCAGTAAAGTTGCAGGATACAAAGTCAACATACAGAAATCTGTTGTATTTCCATACACCAGTAATGAAGCAGCAGAAAGAGAAATTAGGGAATCAATCCCATTTACAATCACACCAAAAACAGGAAGATACCTAGGAATAAACCTAACCAAAGAAGTGAAAGACCTGTACTCTGAAAACTATAAAACACTGATGAAAGAAATTGAAGATGACACAAAGAAATGGAAAGACATTCCGTGCTCATGGATTGGAAGAGCAAATATTGTTAAAATGTCTATATACCCAAAGCAATCTACGCATTTAACACAATGCTTATCAAAAGATCAATAGCATTTTTCACAGAACTACAACAAACAATCCTAAAATTTGTATGGAACCACAGAAGACCCCCAATAGCCAAAGCAATCTTGAAAAAGAAAAGTTGGAGTCATCTCAATTCTGGACTTCAAGTTATATTACAAAGCTGTAGTAATCAAAACAGCATGGTACTGGCACAAAAATAGACACAGAGATCAATAGAACAGAACAGAAAACCCAGAAATGAACCCACAATTATATGGTTAATTAATGTTCGACAAAGCAGGAAAGAAGATGTTCCAAGCATTTACAATCATGAATTCCTTTGGTAATCATTGATGATATTTGTAACTGTGGCTTTCATTATAGTGATATTCTTTACTTAGCTTTTGGTGGCTGGGTCTGTGTAGGGCTTAGAATCCAGTACAGTTTATATTACATCCTTGATTATGCTAAGTGCCTCCTAATGCAAGTATTTGCATTCCTGGTTTCCACACTCAGAGGTGATTGAAATCAATTAGTGCCATTGTTCTTTGGCCTTTCAGGTGGCAATAAAGATTGAACCTTGAGCTCCAGCCAGATTGCATTATTCTCTTTCCCTGGATTCTGCCTACTTTTTCAGGTTTAAGAGCATTTGCTCAATCTGCTTCTTCTCCCTAAAATGTTAATATCCCTTCCTCCATTTCTTCCCATTGAAATTCTGAAAAATCTTCACTATTTCTAAGACGTCTTTTGCAGATTTGAGGTACTGCTGCTATAATAATACCTGTTAGAAAACTATTAAGAGGGAGTAAAGTTTTACTTTACTTTACAGTAAAGTAAAGTTTTAAAGTGCACAATGCTCTTAAACTGGAAAAAGTAGGCAGAGTCCAGGGGAAGAGAATAATTCAATCTGGCTAGAGCTCAGGTTCATGCTTTGAGAAATAAGTCTCGATCGATTTGATAGGAGGGTTTTGGGTATGTGGTAAGTTGGATTTTAGACTGTGGATATTCAATGAGTCTGAGAAGAGAATAGGTATGGTCAGAGGCACATTTGATTTAGATCATCTTTACTTTCCTGAGTGAACATTTTGAATTTAGTTCCCAGCAACTATAGGGGTCTAGCATGCTCCAATAATAAGGTGTGTCTGTACCTAACAGATTTTAGTCATCTAAGTCTAAAGTCCTTCTATACTGAGTAAGTTTATGCATCCTACTCTCCATTGGCAGATTATTACCCTTATGTTAGCAATAGCCTTTGGTCACATCAATGAAGAATTTTCTGTAAGTTGTTTAAATTCATTTTATTTATGCTACTCACCATTATTAATCATTATTTTTGTGCATGTCTATCTCTAACATTAGAATGTAGTCTCCTTTAAAGTACAGGCAGTGTTTAATTAGCTTCTGTGATAACACTGTGCTCATAGTAGATATTCAATAATTGCTTTGGAAAGAATTAGTTAATGGCATACGACAGTCTTGGATCAGCCATCAGCCTGCTGATCAGCTTACATAATATAATATGAAAATTACCTGTAGTGATTCATTTTGCTAACACTTAACATATGTTTACATTAATGTATTTGATCCTGTCAAAAACACTAAGACATAGATAATAGTATGTCCCTAATTGGGAAAAAAAAAGAGTCTTATAAAATAAAGGTTCAATAAATTTCCCAAGCTTTCATAGCTAGGATTTAAATTAAACATTCTGACATATAAATCATTGTGATAGCATACTATTACCTGAAACAGAAAAATAGGATTAAATTAGCAAGCTGAAGGAGAAAAAAAATATTTTTGCTATCATAAGAAGAAAAGACTCATTATTTTTTTTGCATTCAATTATTTTTAGCAAAATCCAATTATGTTCAGTCCTTGGGGTATGGGTGGAGTTCTTCTGTTTATGTCTCTCCTTGTTGTTCCCAGGTAGGAAAGTAAGCTGTGACCTCACCTTCTGAAGCAGTGAGCTGCTGTCAGGATCCACATGCTACTGATCAGGATGCCTCCACAGTGGTGAATGTTACCCGTCTGTAGACTGACTTGCCATGGCCAGTCCCCTTCTTCAGTCTTAGTGCCTCCAAGGATCCTCTCCTCAGACAAAGTTATTAGGTCTGGATGGGCCCCACAGCCTAATGAGACAAGGGCATTAATGAGCTGGGAAGATCATGATTCATTTACATTTGGGAGATGCTGCCAGAGTCTATCTTTTACAACTTTTCTGTCTTTTATGTATTCTTCCCCAGAACATGCTAGCCTTTCCAAAAGCATGATCAGTGTGTTATTTTTTAGGGTACTTATGTGACTACTGTTGACTAAAAATGCATTTTAGAGAATATTTCTGAACTTAATTACATGGAGTCTTCAAATTCTGGAGCGCCTTCAGAGTTCTCCGGAATTTCTCATGAATAGAAGTTAAGGAAGGTCAGTGCTGGTTGTAACAGCCTGGGCCACAAGTTCACTAGGAAATTTCCATCCTCTCTCTAGCTTTGCTATTCAAAAGTGTGGTCTGTGGACCTGCAGTATGGAAGTTTATTAGAGATGTTGCCACTGTGTGAAAATAACCTAAGGGTCTATCAATGGATGAATGGGTCAAGAGAATGTTTATATATATATTTACACACACGTATGTGCACACAAGCACACACACACACACACACACACACAGGGATATTATTCAGCCTTAAAAAAGAAGGAAATCCTGTTGTTTGCAACAACATGGTTGAACTGGAAGGTATTGTTCTAAGTAAAATAAGCCAGACAAATACTGCATGGTACCACTTATATGTTGTGGAAACTTAAAAAAAAAAATAGTCAAATTCCTAGGAAGAAAGAGTAGAAAGTAGTTGCCAAGGGCTGGAGGGTGGGGGAAATGGGGAGAATTTGGTGAAAATGTAAAAGATTTCATCTATAAGGTGAATAAGGTCTGAGGATCTAGTGTGTAACAGGGTGACTACAGTTGATAACACTGTATTGTATAAATGAAATTTGCAGAAATATAGAACTTAAATGTTTTTACAAAAAAGGGGGGGCTAAATATGTGAGGTGATGAATATGTTAACTAGATGGAATATTTTCATAATGTATATATATAACAAATCAAGATTTGTGTACTTTAAATATCTTACAATTTTGTCAATTATACCTCAAAGCTGAAAAAAAATTAACTCAAAGACCCGCACCAGGGAACAAATCAGAAGCTGCATTCCCTTCCTCCCCGACTTTATTGTGGAATAATTGACAAATATAATTCTGTATATTTAAAATGTATAGTGCAATGAGTTGATGTACATATACATTGTTGATTACCAAGATCAAGACAACCAACACCTCCATCACCTCACATAGTTAACTCTTTCTTGTATGTGTGTGGCAAGAATACTTAAGATCTACTCTCAGCAACTTTCAAGCATACAATACTGTATTATTAATCTTAGTCACCCTATGTTAAATCCTCAGAACTTATTAGAAGCTACATTCTAATAGGTGATTCATGTGTACATTGAAGTTGGAGGAAAACTGTTCTTATCAAGAAATCTCCATAGTGGTATTCCAGCTCATCATGGAAGTTCTAGACCTCCATAACCAACTCTATATTACCAAATGTGCCCTTGGAAAAGAGTTACTTCAGGTCCACAGGATATTCTTTTTTTTTAAGATTTTTTTTTATTTATTTGACAGAGAGAGAGACAGCAAGAGAGGGAACACAAGCAGGGGGGAGTGAGAGAGGGGGAAGCAGGCTTCCCGCTGAGCAGGGAGCCTAATGCGGGGCTCGATCCCAGATGCCGGGATCAGGACCTGAGCTGAAGGCAGATGCTTAACGACTGTGCCACCCAGGCGCCCCTCCACAGGATATTCTTGAGGGTAACGGAGGGTTTCTAAGTACTTAGATGAGATTTAAACATCTTAAGAAAGCAAGCCCACGAACATTCCAATGGCTTGATCTGAAATGATCATTCAAGTCCTCTCAATTCCCATTCCCATGATTTATTTGCTTTTTTTTTCAGTCTATTACTAAGAAATTAGAAGTAAATTACCAACAACGATTTTTATTGCTCTAAAGTCATGACACTGCTTCAATAGGACATCCATCCAAAGACATTTTTTCCTAACAGACTTTGCAGATAGAGGAGGGCTAGACATCCATTAAGAATATACACAGAACATAAGTTCCTTTGTTGCATCCTTCAACCAAATTCCTTAGTAAATTACTTAAGCACATTTTCATTAAAAAGAAGCATGAATTAAATATATAATGAAGTTAAGAAATACCCATAAAGGTAGCATTACCTTGTAACATCACTTAAGTGTTTGAGATAGGCCAGCTGTTGAGGTACATTGAACTAATTTCTAACTACATTTCATCACCAGAGAAGGAAACTGCTGTTTTCTAGGGATTATATTTCTGCTGTACTAGCCTGAGAGTATACAGAATGACACTGGAAAGTCGTGTCTTTTCCTTCAGATTAGAGACATAAAACTGACAACACTTTTATAATTTTTTTAAATTATACTTTTTGATTAATTTAAATCCACAACAAAGCAGGCTATTCTGGTGGTCAGGAGGAGCCATATAAAAGGTGTCACTAAACATAATTTACAAGTTTACAGAAGTGCCACCATAACCTTGGGGTAGGAAAAGCTTCCCAAAGCTGCCAAGAAAATTTTCTTGAGGTCAAACTTTACACTGAATGCCACTGCTGCCACCTCCTTCTTCTAAACATCACTCCATGAGCCAGTGGAATCAGCAATGTCTTCTCTCAATAGCGACCCACACGAGTGAACTAAGAATTAAGATAACACCTCAACGGAAACTACCTTGGCTATTTACACCAAAGACACAGATGTAGTGAAAAGAAGGGCCATATGCACCCCAGTGTTCACAGCAGCAATGTCTGCAATAGCCAAACTGTGGAAAGAGCCAAGATGCCCTTCAACAGATGAATGGATAAAGAAGATGTGGTCCATATATACAATGGAATATTAGCCATCAGAAAGGATGAATACCCAACTTTTCCATCAACATGGGTGGGACTGGAGGAGATTCTGCTAAGTGAAATAAGTCAAGCAGAGAAAGTCAATTATCATATGGTTTCACTTATTTGTGCAACCATAAGGAATAGCATGGAGGACATTAGGAGAAGGAAGGGAAAAATGAGGGGGGGGAATCGGCGGGAGAGAGGAACCATGAGAGACTATGGACTCTGAGAAACAAACTGAGGATTTTCGAGGGGAGGGGGGTGGGGGAATGTGGTAGCCAGGTGATGGGTATTAAGGAGGACACGTACTGCATGGAGCACTGGGTGTTATACGCAAACAATGAAACATGGAACACTACATCAAAAACTAATCATGTACTGTATGGTGACTAACATAACATAATAAAATTAAATTAAAAAAAAGAAACTACCTTGGCAAAGAGCGCAAATACTTGAACGTTTACTATTTATTTTTGGTAAACTGTTTGTATAAGATAATTTTGAAACTTACCTTCAGTGAAAATATGTACTGTGTCCTGGTCAGTAATTGCTGGTATTAAAAAAAAAGTGAAAGTAAGATCAATACAATAAGGAATGTATATTATTTCACCTTAATTTCTTAAATGTTGTTCTCATCAGAATCACTCAGAGGGCTGATGAGATACAGATTTCTAGGCTTCATCTTAGACCTGCTGAAAGAATCTCTGAGTCATAAGCCCCAGAAATTTCTGGGTTTACAATCTTCTCCCCATTTATTGTTATTTATATTAAAGTTTGTGCTTTAATTTCTCATCAAACACTAAAAGATACTTAAAAGATATTTAAAAGATATTCCTGCTCTCAAGTCACTCAGTTTAGTTGGGAAAACAGAAACATAAGCAAGTTGTTGAGATATGATGCGATAGTGTAAGAGAAGTTAAATTTTCATTTACTTGAATATATATGTAGATATATATAGATAGATAGATATGTATTACTCTACTGAAACTATTCTTAATAGGGCAGGTATAACAGTGAGCAAAACACAGGAGGTCTGCCTTCACATAATTTACAGCTAGAAATTAATCAAGGAATCATTCAAATAAGTGTAAGTGCGAAGTGGAGAGGAGACAGGAGAGGGTGATCATGCTACCTGAGATATTCACTGAGTTATCATGGTGAGAAAAACATTTGAGCTGTATTTTGAAGACCTAAAAGGAACTTTCCAGACAGACAAGCAGGAAAAAGGTATTCCAGGTGAGAGTGTAGTGGGTACAAGCGCATGGAGATGTACGATGTTTGTGGAATGATCACATCAGTAAAGCTCGTAGCGCAAGTACAGTATGAAGGGAGATGGCGGGAGCGCCCAGACAGAAAATATGTTCATAGCAGATAGTGAAGGTCTGTCTGTTGTAATTTAAGGTCTGCTTACAGAACCATTTTCTCAGCACATCCTACAGCTGTCTCAAACTCAATGTGACCAAATTTACCCCAAATTTGCTACTTATATTTTCTCCTTTAGGAAATGATCCCACTTCTACCAGTGGCTAGAAATCTGAAACAAATCTCTAATTTTTCCCTTCCTGTCATTTTCACATCTTATTGGTTTTCAGAGTTTATACCTCCTAGCCTCTAACAATGCTTTGCATTATGCCCACCCTCCCTATCTCTTTGGCTACTACTTTAGTTCGTGCTTTCATCATTTGACATCTACACTATTACCATAACCTTCAATCTGGATTCCATGACTCCACCTTTGCACTTTTCAAGATGTCTGTCTCTACCAGGTTGTTTTTTTCTAAAAATGTATGTCAGATCATATCTTTCCTTGCTTGAAAACTTTTAATGAGAAATCACCTCATTTCCTATAAAATAAATCTAAACTTCTCAGACAGGTTTTCATGCTTTCTACAATCAGTTTATCCAAACTTCCTTGCTGCCAGAAGTTTCACAGCGTTTGGGAATCCCATCTGCTTTGTAAGTGTCAGAGGAGCCCAAACATCTTTTTGGAGGCAGAAAATAAAAAGAACTGACCATTCCTTTTCATTTTTTGAACAAGAGAGACTGGAGTTCAAATCCTGACTCCCTACACGCTGATTGTAGGACCCTGGGTAATTCTCTATCTTTTCTGAGTGGGAACAATAAAAGTATAAGATATGGTTGTTGTGAGGATTAAGCAAACTGTAATGGAGAAGCATCAGCCAGTCAGAAAGGACACAACAAACCGTGGAGCTAGAGCAGTGTCTCAGAAGTCCTTGCTGTGCTAAGCATTAACTCTTCAGTTACAGGAGGATGAGCCGGGAGCCAGGGTAGGGATGGGAGGATTTGAAGAGGCTGGGAAGACACCTTTGTGGGCCTGGTGCAGTGGTGGTTTACCAACACATAGGAAAGCATTTCAATGTCTTAACAACTAGTACAGCTGTAACAGGTATATACTGATTTAATACCAGTCAAGTGTGGGGGTGACCAAATTCCTTTAATGTTGAGCTTATTATGAGGGAATCATGGTTTATTAAGGTAGCAGTGCATGACAAAGTTGGAGGAGAGTCCTTAAATTCTATGCACATATTAATTAAGCCTTTTTTTAGTCATGCAAGAGATATATATTTTTAAGGTTTTATTTATTTGACAGAGAGAGAGAGAGAGACAGCACAAGCAGGGGGAGCAGCAGAGGGAGAGGGAGAAGCAGGCTCTTCGCTGAGCTGGGAGCCCAACAGCGGAGCTCGGTCCTAGGACCCTGGGATCATGACCTGAGCCCAACTGCTGAGCCACACAGGCACACCTCATGTAAGAAATAATAATGGAGTTATCTATTATATGCTAGATACTGGGTAGTAGAAGGACATTGGGATGAGCCAGACAGACTGGTTCTTGCCTTCAGGAAGCTTACAGAGTAGGATGAAGACAAACAATACAAAAATCACACAAATAATTTTGTAGTTTCAATTGTGATAAATGTTATGAACGAAAATGAAAAAGTCTGTGACAAAGGTAAATAATTAAGTAATGGAAGTTAGAAGAGGCTTACATTAGAAAGTAGTGAATCAGATGAGACCTGATGGATGCAAGGGGGTGATTTAGTATCATAAGAAACTGGAACAATGTATGCAAAGGCCCTGAGGCAGGAAAGAGAGGAGTTTGGCAGGTGGAGAAAATGAAAGTGTGACCAGATTATGGTGAATGAGGAAGAGTGGTAAAATAAGTAGCTGAAGGGATAAGCATGAACCAGATCATGCAATGCTTTAAATGAGATGGTCATATCATTTATTGTCCAAACCAGGACACTTAGGGATCAATATTAACCATGGTTCTTTGACAATTGGCATGAACTGGGACTGTCCTGGGTAAGCCAGGAAATATGGTATCCTAGTTATAAGTATTTTTTTGTTTGCCTGTTTTCTTTGTTTGTGGGAAGTCATGGGAAGCTTTTAAGTAATACTGAAATTATATTTTTTAAAATATTTCCATAATCTATGTGGATAGTAGTTTGGAAGGGGCCAAGAAAGTATTGCAAAGAATAGTATGGAGGCTAGTGCAGTAGTTCAAGTCAGAAATGATGTTGGCTTGGACCAGAGTGGTAGCAATATTCATGGAAAAAAATGGAAATAGATTCAAGACAGGCGGAGGTACAGATATTTTCAGAGAGGAGTTAGGGATGTTGCTAAATCTTCTAATTTTCTCTTTTATTCTACAAGTATTTATCAGATAACTTCCAATTGCATGCTGTGTTCTGGGTGAGGTGGAGTGTTATTTAAATTGTTCTCTGACCTTGAGCAGCTATTTGCCATTTCTATAACATACTTACAGATTGAATACCTGACAACAACATCTCTCATAAGGAGTGTTGAGAGGGAAAATTAATGAAAGAATTTTTAGCTAATAAAATTTACTATATGAATGCTAAATGATTTTTTAAATGTTAGAATGTTTTATATTAGAGAACTATGCATTATGTCTACCTTTATAGCATATTGTTTTCATAAAGTTTAATTCCAAGGAAAGAAAAGTCAATCTCATTACATTAAAACGAATTATAACATTAAAACGAATTATATTTGGATAAAATGGTAAAAAAAAATAATGGTACTTGCATGTTATCTCAGTTGAAGGGTTTATTTCCAAGTTTCCAGAGTTACTCAGCGTTTGGTGTAAAACAGACTCAATTCTGCTTTTCATTGATGCTCCATTGTTATTTCTAGTGAATTTAAATTTCATGACAACATCTGCTATCACACCATTACCTTCTTGCCTGAAAGCCATAAATATATTAAAAATAAATAATTACAGTTTTATGCTATTCTGTTTATATGCTCTTATTGATTAAACATTAAAAAATTCACTTGGGGAATTTAACTTTAGAACAGACTCACATAACAGTGTTTGCACTTAATGATATATCACAATGCTATTCCACAAATATTTGATTTCGAATCATGGTACACTGTATCTACCATTCAGTATAGCTGGCTTTGAAGTCAGGATGCCAGAGTTTGAATATCAGCTCTGCCATGTACTGTTTGGCTTTGGTAAGTTATTTGTTTCTTAATCTTTCTGTATTAAAGTCTCCTCACATTAAAATGGGTTGTTATGAAGATTATGTGAATTAATACATGCAAAACTTTTGGGAAGCGTACACAGCATACAGTAAGGGCACTGTAAGTATTAGCTATTATTAGACCACAAAAATCTTAAAAAAAAATCCCTTACCTCATTAAACAAATCTATAAGGAGAAGACGTTTTAAATTTATGTGAATTAAAGGCTCGGGTTAATTTTCTAGTACCTAAACGCATTAATGTGGCTACAAGGTCCTATGTTAAAATTTATCCATGTATCAGTTAGCCACAGGTATTCTCCACAATGAACCGTAATAATTTGACTAAAGGCTGCAATGGTCAAAAACCGATATAATTTCTACTTCCTTACGTGTGAATTACCATGTAAGTCATTTCATCCACTAACATGGGCCATCTTCTTTTCTGAAAGTGTGCAGCAGAGAAATTTGTCTCTCATATTCATTCTAGGCCTCTTCCTCTCAATTCTCAGCTCTGCCATAATATTCATCCCAGATATTAATTTAATATTTACTTCACAAATGTTCAATAGCTACCTTCTTGTGCTAGGCACTGTTCTTAGTTTCAGAAATTAACAGTGACCAAGATTCACACTTGCCATTCTCATGGATTTTGCAGTTTAGATAGAGGAGCAGACACTGAAGAAATAATTATAGCTTCCATTTCTAGCAACATGAAAGTCTAAATAATTAAAAAAAATTCTCCATATAAAATAACCAGAAACACTTGATAAAATATAATAAATTTCATTTGAAATGCAAAGCTAAACCCACTTTAAAGTAAGGGAAATCTTGGAAGACCAAAAATAAAGAACATGAATATTATGCAGTAAGCTCTAGAATATCCAACAGGCTTGCGTTGTAGCATTTACATGGATACTGGAGGGGAGGCTTTGGGCTAGTGCTAATTAGGGAGATGAACATGAGGTTTCTAAATAAGACCAGGATTCTCAAAGAACTAAACCCTCAGTGAAAGCATGGATTGGAAAGAAAAAAAATGTGCTCATCATGTCATAAAAAAAAAATAAAGAAGTTTATGTGTCTCAGGGTTCCAGGTCTAGACAGAAAAAAGAAGACTGTCCTGATAATTCATGATCATGAGTCTAGCTACATGAAAGTTTTGGATTTGCATTACTACCACCTGCATGATTCCAGAAACTTTAAGAAATTAATGGAAAAAAAAAAAGGTCCATGTGCCGCTGATCCTTCTAGAGTGTCTGATGGAAGCAAATGCTCTGTAAATTGAATGTGAAATCCAGGCTGCATAAGTATCCTACTTATGAAGTGGGATTAAAGGTAAGCATACAGTTCCAGTGGCAAACAACTTATCATGAGCTAGAATCAGCAGAATGAGGACAGCATCCTCAAAAATGTCACATAATCAAATTAACAGATAGGTAACTTTATTTGAAATGACTAACAACATAAAAGGGGGAATCATAAATATGAGAAAAGTATGGGACATTATCAAAACAGACCAGACAGGTTCACAAGATAGAGCTTGCAGACAGGAAAACATAGTCATAATTTTTAATCAAATTGAAAACTCAATGGATGGGTTACGCAAAATATCAGACAAAGCTGAAGAGAAATTAGTTAACTGAAAGGTAAAAATAAAGAAATCACACAAAATGTAACACAGATAAAGAGATGAAACAGATCTAGAGAAGGTTCAATGTTTACCTAATGCAAAACGAAAGAAGAGCACCAAAAAATAAAGGAGCAGCAATATTACAAGAGATAATGAGAATTATCCAGAACTGATGAAGACACGAAGCCTAGATCACAAGAGTCTGAGGCATACTAAATAAAAGAAACGCCCCCCGCGTGCAAAGACATCATTAAAAAAACTGAACTCCAAAGACAAATGGAAGATTTCCAAACAATGGAGAAGAGATTAGTTACCAAAGAACATTTGACTGAAGGACAATTTCTTAATAGCAACAAAGAAGGCAGTATATAATTGTATCTTCAAATTGCTGAGAGACAATAGCTATTAATTTAGAATTTCATATCCACACTAAAGTATTATTCAAGAATGAAGATAAAATAGGACATTCTTTAGATCAAAGCAAAACAAAAAAGATACTTTATAGCTCATGGACTGTTGTGAAAATTTATAAAGGAAGTACTTCAGTAAGAAGGGGATTGAACCCAGGAGGGTTAGGGTATGGTAAGAAATAAGGAACAAAGAAAATGGCAAACTGGTAATCTATCATTACAATGACTAATTTGGAGTCATTACAAATAGGGTGGAACTAAAACATCATTTATAATAACATGAACAAGAGTTCCAAGTTCCTTATATTATTTGAAAGAAGGGTCATGAATTAAGCCAACTCTCCTTATTTAAATTTTAAGGATAATCACTAAAATAAAGCAAAGATGATCAGAATGCTTTGGAAAATATAACTAGCTGTCTTTCTGTTTTAGGAAAAATGTCTAACCTATAAAGATCTGTAAATATTGAAAATAAAATATTGAAAACCCCTCGTGAGGTTCAGGATAGTAAAGAACTGAGAGAAGTCTAGTGGGACTGAGACTAGTCTATGTGGAGGGTAGTGAAAGATAAGCCCAGAGGTGGAGATGGTAAGAGGAAGTCAGATAAAGGACAGTTGGATAAACTTTGTTATATATATGTGTATAAAAATGTCTCTCTCTCCCTCCCTCTCTCTCTCTCTTTATAGATATATAAGTATATATATCTATAAAGACACACCCATATATGTGTCTATATGTATGTATGTATATGTACATGTATATGCACATACATATATACACACATTATACATATATCAAGAATACATGTACCTTTTTTTAAAAGATTTTATTTATTTATTTGAGAGAGAATGAGAGATAGAGAGCACGAGAGGGAAGAGGGTCAGAGGGAGAAGCAGACTCCCTGCTGAGCAGGGAGCCCGATGTGGGACTCGATCCCAGGACTCCAAGATTGTGACCTGAGCCGAAGGCAGTCGCTTAACCAACTGAGCCACCCAGGCACCCAAGAATACATGTACCTTTGATATGCATATATTTATATATAATATTTGGCATATTGCAAGGGTAATGAGTGGCCAATAGATGGATTTTAACTAGGGGAATAATATGTTTAGAATTTTGGTTTAAAAAAGTCTTTCTGGCTGCTGTGTAGAGTGAGTGGAGCAAGACTGGAGGAAAGGAGACTCATTCGGGAAACTGTTCATAGTCCAGGAGAGAAATGGTTGAGGGCACTATTTGAAGAAAAGTTATGCATCTTAGAGATATTTAGGAAACAGAACTGAAAGAATAGTTGGTTGAATGTGTGGGTTGAGGGAGAGGAGAAATTAAAGATGACTTGCATATTTCTTTCTTGAGCGACAGGTTGAAAGTGATGCCATTGATAGAGGTGGGCAATGGTAGAAGAGTAAGCTTTGGTGGGGGAGAGATGATAGGTTCAGGTCCGGACACAGTAAAGGGGAGTTGTCTGTGAGATACGTGGATGATGACATCAAGTAGATGGCTGTGTGCTTTCATGTCTAGAGATGAGAGGAGTGGACTGGCCCAGAGATACAACTTTGAGAATAATGAACATACAGGGGACAATGAAGCCACTGAACGGAGAGAATGTGCAAGAGCTACTGAAGAAAACAGGAGAAGAAAAGAGGAGTGAGGGGGGTGGTATGAGGAAAATAAGGGTGTTTAGATCATAGAAACTACAGGATGATACTATTTCAAGGAGGATTGAAAATACAACAGCACAGGGCGCCTGGGTGGCTCAGTTGGTTAAGCAACTGCCTTCGGCTCAGGTCATGATCCTGGAGTCCCGGGATCGAGTCCCACATCGGGCTCCCTGCTCAGCGAGGGGCCTGCTTCTCCCTCTAACCCTCCCCGCTCTCATGTACTCTCTCTCTCTCTCATTCTCACTCTCTCAAAATAAATAAATAAATCTTTAAAAAAAAAAAGAAAATACAACAGCACAAAATACCACTGAGAGGTAACAGAAGACTGATAGAGTTTGTTTGGAGCTTGTGACTTGGATGTCATTGTTGAACTTGGCAAGGGTAATTAGCATTTTGTGGTGGCATTAGAAACAAGATTGTAGGGGATTGAGCAGTAGGTGGGAAGGGAGCAAAAGGGGAGAAAATGCAGATGGTTCATCCAGTCCTATGGATTTTGAGAGCTAGTGGCTAATACAGAGATTTTTACAGGAAAATGCTAAGGGGAATGTGCACTGAACAGACTGAAATTCATTTTGGTAAATATTCTTCCCACGGATTCTTCCTACTCCTCTCATTTCTTAACAAAATTAATCTGACCAGATGTTCATGCTCCTGGGACTTACTGATTCTTCAGAAAATAAGAAATATTAGTTTTCTTGTGGTGGTGGTATTTGAGAAATACTCCCCTTTTGCTTATTATTCGAAGGATTGGGTAATGTGAGCATTTGAAGCATTTGTGGTAGGATTAGTGTTTTAGTTGGGAGGGCCTGTCTCATCACATCACACAGATAGGTACACATTCAACTAAGGCAGGACTGTCAAGTAACTAGAATACTGTTACTCCCGTTATTATTAATTCATGCCAGACATGCCTGGATTTGGCCACAGCATCCTTTATATTAGAGCATTCCAGGCAGATACAAACCAAAAAGCTTGATGTTGATCATAGCGTTCTGATCTTGGATGAATATGCCCAGGACCACAACATTGCACAACTCCAGAGGCACTGTTTACATATGCTGGACTGTGAATGGGATCCACTGGATTTATACAGTTGGATGGCTTTATTACCATACCTTCACCTGACTCTCTTTAAACTTTCTTTCTTTCCTATCAAGAATTGAAGTGATATATTTATTTACATTAGTAAATAGATCATATGTGGCATGTTTTGTTTTTGTTTTGGCATTGTTTTTTAAGCTGCCCATGATACTTCTTTCATAATATTGTAACAAATTGTGTGAGTGCCTCATTCATTATCCATGCTGTGAACAAAAGTCAAGGGCCAAAGGGCATCTAAGCTTATATATTTTTTATAGAGTTCCACTCACCTCAGTTTGACAACATGAGCTCTGATGAACTGATTTCTTAAATTTGATTCTTTGAAAGTTTTAGTGATCTGTAGAAAGAAAGGAGAAAACCTCTTTGTAGTTCCAGTTGTTCTTCCCCTCCCTTCTTCCTCCCAACCTTGCAACATAGAACTTAAGTTAATGAGGAATAGGGACTGGAGTTTTCAGTTCAGTTCAGTTCAACTCCATCTCAGAACACACGAGATTGATTTAGGCCAGTGATACAGGCTTCTGATGCAGGGCCTATTTCTTCATCTATGATACAAAGATGATAATGGACAGGATGCGTCTTCACTAGAAGTCATCTCAACATTAGATGTTTTACTCAGTGTGATTTGGTGGCTATTCCCAAGGGGTTTGGGGCCGGTGCCAAGCCAACACTAGGGGAGTCCATGATACAACTTACGTTTGTGTGATTCCTCAACCACTGTTTTTAAGTGGGTAACACCAGATTAAATTGAGTGATGAAAAGGGGGAAAAGAGGCAAAGGGCAGTTTTTCCCCCGTTAATTATGACTAATATCTAAGCATCCGAGGTTATTTTTAACATCAGTTGGTAATTTCCTGACCTAACCTTAAGTGTCTCCCTGAATCATTTTTCAGTCCCAACAAGGATAGTGTTCTTGAGTTATAAAGCTCAGCTTCACAGTGAACTAGGGGTTTTTCTGTGACTGCAGTGGTTCTCCCACGATGCAGGGTCAGTCAGAGGTACCGAGGTTTCCTAATGCAGGAGTGGATGCCACTGGCTTGTACCGTGAGGCAGCAGTAAGGGAGATGTGGACATGGAAATTAAGTAGTGTGCTGAATGTTATATTAAGCCAGGATTTGAAACCAATCTTTCCTGAGACTGTAACGTTTATGCAATCTCTTTTATACCACATCGTATCTCTTAAAATAGCCGTTCCCTTAGGCTGGCATCAGACCAATCAGTTGTTTGACGAAATGATAATTTTCTTTCTTTTCAGAGAGGCTTTGAATATTTTAAAGAATAATGAGACTATTGGTTTTATGGAAATAGTTCGTGTTCCTTTTTTAAAAATTTAGGAAATATTAGTAAGTGTTAAGAAGAAAGCAAAAAAAAAAAAAAACTCAAATTCTATGATCCAGAATTAACAGTTGCTGTCATTTGGTGAACTATATTCCAGTTAACTACAAAGAAGGATGGATTTTAATATGCTTCTTAATATAGTATATTATAGGAAGTATTTTAATAAAATAATTTAACTTAATTTTACTTGATTTTAACAGAAGTAAAAGGAAATGACCTAAAGCTGAAGGAATTGCTAAAATTTGGATAAATGTTTCCTGTGATTATATTTTAATTCATCATTTGGCATTATACTGGCACAGGCTAGACTGGACCAAAGTAAAAAAATCCACCTGAATTATGACATTTTTTCTATGTGGAAAACTTTAGTGAAGACTAGGATAATAAGCAACATAAAGAAAGCAAATTGATTATTGGTTGATATCAAGATACAAGGATACAAGAAGAGCCCCATGGATAAGATTCCATATCTGCCAGAGTGGAATGTTATTGGCCCTCTCATTAGAACTTATCAAATGTTGGGTGGAAAATCAGTGAGCAGATGATTGTAGAGAATTCCAATAGGATAGTGGAAAGGGAAGTTGACGAACAGAGAGATAAGTTAGCTTGCTATGAGAACTTGAATGAGCCTTGTAACCTTTCTTCCTCTCAGTTTTTCCATCTATAATAGTATAGTCAGAAGTGTATTAAAAAAATTATCTGTATACAGTCGACTACTGCAACTCCCAAAGACTATGCATCTACTTTTAGTGAGGTTTACAGTCAACCTTTTGGCCTTTTCCCTTTCTTCAAAATTATCACTGTTCATGGGTGTTATGAACAAACAATGAATCATGGAACACTGCACCAAAAACTAATGATGTAATATATGGTGATTAACATAACAATAAAAAAAATTAAAAAAAATTATCACTGTTCAAAGGGTCAAACAAGTTAATTTTCACACTCATTTGATTTTGTCATCTGCACTATTGACCCTTTCATTACCTTGGACAAAAATCAAGTAAACAATGAAAAAAGAGAAGTTTTTATATTTCCCTCCTGATTGAGGGTGACAATACTATCTCAGTATTCTAGTATAGACTAGAATCCTCATACCTCAGTAATATTGATCGTTAATAAGAATTGAAGTGAGATGTGAATTTTTTAAATTCCAACAAAATGAATCATTGAATGTGTTAGTAGACCAGTCATTAAAGGGTAAAATTATATAGAGAATATTTGTAATTATCATACATTTTCATCCTTAGAGAGAAAAGATCTTATTAGCTAACCGTGAAAACAAAGCACCTTATTTTCAGTGTCTTCTTCCTTGGTAGCTATAGTTCTGTTCATATTATTTGTGAGCTGAATAATAGAAATAATGTTGTTTTTGTGATTTCAACTACCCTCCAGTTACCACTTTCTTTTCTGTTTAACCAGAAGATCTGGAAAGCTCAGTTTTCAAGAAAAAGATAAAATATGTGGCAATATGATCTGTTACCACAGTGGTCTCCAAATATTTTTGATTTTGCACTCCTATGGATGAAGCATTTTGTGCATGAGTAGCCAAAACATGTATATTTATTTATAAATTACATACATGTAATAATACTGTACTGCTAGCAATATATATTATAAAACATTGACAAAATTAGAAATGAAAAAGGCTGAGTTACAGAACAAACATTTAGGAATTTCATTCCATTTATATTTAATAATAATATTTTCACTGTTAATGTTACTGGATAGAATTTTTAATTTTTGAAACACTTTGTGATAAAATGACTCAAAGTTATGATTCTAAGTTTAATTTAAATACTTGGTTTGAAGTGCTGAAGAAGTTTCCACACAATTATGTGGCTCAAATGCATAAAGCACATCACCGACAGAACTTAATAAATCATGACATGAAGTTGTCAGTCCCTCCCACCCATTGTGCAAAGGTTTGTTGAAATTCAGCAAGTGACTTTCCATCTTCCCTGATGTCAACTGATTATCTTTGCAAACCAAATGAAATCTGTTTCATTTTATATGTTTTTAAAGAAGTGTGTTCAAAATCAACAAAACATGATAATCCTTTCCCCCAATTTTTATGTGTGCATGTCTAAGCACTTTTATAGATAACGTGCCTCATTTTTAGTAAAACAGAAGAAAATCCAAACACCTAATGATGGACCCATTGCTAAACATAGGTTTTCAGTCTCCTCTCCATGCTATGAGTTTTATTTAAAATGTGGCTAATTTCTTTCACTTACACCTTGAAGAGACAGGGTGTGTACATGTGTGTATGTGTCTTCTAAGAAAGGTATTGCTTCATCTGGTAATTTGGCTCTAGTCAGGAGCAGGGAAGTGTCAGTTCTGACATTATGTTACTGTTCTTTTACTTGCTCATTACTGTCCTTGCATATTAGAGTTATCTCCAAATTGCAGGTTTTAAAATTTGTGTTTTGCATGATTTTCTGTTTCCCTTATTGATTCAGTTTACTTTAAAAACTAGATGATATAATCTTTAAATCCAGTTGAAACTGCACATCATTGAAATCTACTCAGAGCAGTTAAATACACTGAAACCCAGTCAGTTCTGCTGTGTTACTGCCCCTCCCCTCTTCCCTCAAGATTTCGCACACATTGCGTGGGACCCGCTGACTTAAAACCAAACAAGGGTTCCAGTGTCAAGTCCCTTATTAAATAGTAACAAAGCGCTTCGTTCCTTCTGAAAAGTATTCGTTATGGGAAAATACATGTGGAGTGATATCTGAGCATTTGAGTATTCACGATTAATTATTGTGAATCCCTTCCTGGAATGCACAACCCCATTTTGGAGACCACTGTGAGCTCCTGACTGCAGTGATGTCTTCATTTTGTCTCCCTAAGACTTGACACAGGAACCAACAGACAGAATGCATCATTTATTTATTCATTCAAAAAATATTTGAATGTCAAGTGTGTACCAAATTCCTTATTAGGCATTAAGGAACAATCAATGCTTGTTGATTGGATGCGCCTGAAATGAATTTTACCCAGAAGCCCTGCTGGTATAAATTGATGTGATAAGATTAATCTCAAATTGATACTGTTTTTTTTTCTTCCTATGTCCTATTTTGTTTGTGGGACTATAACTAGGTATATTTTGGAAAGAGTGGCAATTGTTTGCAGAATTTGTTGCAATATCACCCCTGATACCAAAGGGAAGTTTCAGCTGATCCCAGGTATGAACCCTGACTGAAGTCTTTTATTTAGAAAGACCCATTCAATCAGAATGCACTCATAGTTTTGATCCATGTATTTTGCAAACAGGTGCTTTCATTACTTCTAGATGACCTTGTTCTTTTTTGTCACTCATTCAACAACAGTTTTTGAGCACCTTTTGCCCTGCACACCCCTTTTATCAAGCACTGGGGTACAATGGTGAGGGAAAATAAACAGTCCTTGCCATTTAGGAGCTTACATTTAAGGGTGGCAGACAAGCACTAATCAAGTTATTATCCACATTGGAGTAAAATTATAACTGATAAGTATGGAAATATAGTAGAGGAATTTGATCCAACCAATGAGATTAGAGAGGTTTCTCAGAGGAAATGTTTATGAAGTTGAGACTGTTAGGAAGAATCAGAGTTAGCTAGTTGAAGAGGAAGGAAAAAACCTCACGGATGAAGTGAATGGTGCGTGCAAAGTCCCAAGGTGGGAACACACAGGCTGCGTTTCAGGAATGGAAGGAGACTAGTGCAACTGTAGCATGGAGAGCAAGGAGGCTAGGGTGAGAGAAAGGCCAGACCATGTTAGTGTGCAAAGAATTTGGTCTTTATCATAAATAATGGGAAGTCACTGAAGTGTTTTAGACAAAAGGATAATATAGTCAGATCTGTAATTTGGGACTAATTTCTTTTTTTAAAAAAGATTTATTTTAGAGAGAGCGAGAACACAGTGGGGAGGGTGAAAGGGAGAAGAAGAGAGAATCTCAAGCAGAGTCCTTGCTGAGTGTGGAGCATGATTTAGTGCCTGATCTCAGGACCCTGAGATCGTGACCTGAGCCAAAACCAGAGTCAGACACTTAACTGAGTATGCCATCCAGGCACCCCGAGAATAATTTCTTTTGCTGCATATGGATATTCAATTTTAGGGAAGAAATAATGCAAATTATTTGTACTATTTTAGTACTTCAGAGAGAGGTGATGGCTTTGGAAGGGCATGGTGTTAGGTGTGAAGAGAATGGAATGGGGATGAGGGAAACAGAGGGGATAAAACCTACAGGAGTTGGTTTTGGTTTGGTTTGGACTGGATGTTTGGAATGATAGAGGGCAGTGGATCCAAGATGAATTCTAGGTTTTTGGCTTGGGAAACTGAGTCAGTGACATTGACGTTAATGGGAACAGGATTATTGGAAGAAGTCTACTATGGTGTGGGGAGATCATGAGTTTGATTTGGGGACATGATAAATTTGAGATTAAAAAAAAAAACCCGGCCAAGTAGAGATATTAAGCTGGCAGTTGGGTGAAAAGTTCCAAAGTACAGAAGAAAAGTCTGGGCTCGAGACCAAGTGAGTCATTAGATAAGTATTGCTTGAAGTAACGCTCATGGAGAGGGAGGTCAAAGCCTCGGGGAATTTCAACACTGAATGTCAGGGTAGAGGAGGGTGATCCCGTAAGGACACAGAGAAGTGGCCACGGGGGGCAGGATAGGAAAAACAGATGGATGAATATCATGCTTGAAAGTCACAAAATCATAGACTTTTTGATTTAGAATGTAGTATAAAAATCATCTGGTCCCATGATTTTATTTCACTGATGAATAAACTGAGAGCTAGAAAAGAGACGTGAATTGCCTAATAGAACAGAAGGTTCTGGGACTCTTCTTCTGCTCATTAAGTATAACATGTTGTCTGTGGGACAAGGATGATGGTACTCATGTTACCACTGGGAAATGTTATGATCCTTGGCTTTGGAGTTAGGAGCCCTTGGTTTGAATGCTGCTTCTACCACTCTCCAGTTGACTGATGTTTGACATATTTCCTAATCTCACAACCTTTACTTTACCCATCTATAAAAATGATTTGTTAATTCATGTGGCTGTTGTGAACTGAGGGTTAGAAAGTGGCTTGTAAACCATAAATTAGCACTGCATTAGAGTATTATTCATACAGTGTTTTAAATGTTCATAGTGTTTTCACAGAAGGATAAATAAACGAGAGTGTGGAAATCATACATCAGAAGAATTTCAAGGGAAATCTTTCTCTGCCAGATGTGTAAATATATTGTAAAACCAGAGTACTCTAAATAGCTTGGTACTGGTACCGGCGAAGATTAATCAGTGGGGACAAGGAGAGTATGGAATAAAGAAAAGGAGGAATTTAGTGTATAATAAAGGTGGCATGACATAGTAATCCACTGCACTATTGAACATACTCTTTTGGTACCACCACCGAGCTACTTCGGGGATAAAGCTGGATCTCTACCTTACTGCAAAGTAAATTATAGACAAATAAAAGATAAAATTATAAAAACTGAAATAATAAAATTATAAAAAGAAAATGAAGGTGAATATTTTAAAGAGTATTTAGAGTGGAGAAAGCCATTTTTAACCTGACACAAAAGTGAGAAATCATAAAAAGGATTGATAATTTGGCTATATGAAAAATTAAGTATTTAACATTAAAAAACCCCTACATTATAGACAAGATTGACAGTCAAATCACCTTACCAGAGAAATATATGCAATGTGAATGACAGGCAGACTTTAATATTCTAATAAGGACAACTGTTTTTTTGTTTAAGGACAAATGTTTGTTTGTTTCGAATCCATATAAAATAGACAAGTGCTCCCGTAAGAAAGTGGGTAAGGTCGTGATCAGGCAATTCACAAATGAAGTTATAAAAATGACCTATTAATATAAGAAGGCAGATTAAATCTTAGTAATTAAGGAAATGTAAACCAAAATAAGATTGAGATGTCACTTCCCACCTACTGAATTAGCAACAATTAAAATGATTTATGATGCTGCGTGTTAATGCTGTGGGGAAATAAGCATACCTGTGTGGACTTATGTCCTGCTGGTAAGAATGTAAACTGGAGCACTTCTGGAGTGCAGCCTAAAAATTAATCTTAAAAATGCAAAGACCACTATATTGATACAAGCAAGTGGTTGAATAAATACATGGGGAGAATAGACAAATAGAAGAATTTTAAATATCCTTCAAATATTCAAGTCATAGCTCCCCACTCCTCTACTCCTTATGCGTGGCTTAGACATAGTGTCTTTTTTCCAAAGCGTATGGTATGGAAAAGGGAGAAAATGACTGTACGATGTAGAAACCTGACAAACACTGCTTCAGCTGGGTGATCAAGTTGACAGTGCTAAGTCATACTGACAGTGTAATGAACCCCCTTCATGTGATGGAATGAAAATGATACTTTTCCTCTTTGGTCTTCCTCCCTCCCCAAAACCTGTAACTCCACTCTAAGAGAAAACAAACAAACAAAAAAGGCCCAGTTGTGGGATTTTATAAAATGACTGGCTAGTACTTTGCAAAACTGTCAAGGTTCTCAAAAACAAGGAAAATCATAGGAACTCTCATAGATTCTCTTCCCAAATCACTGATGCAGCTGTTTATTCTGATCTCATTAAACATTTAAATGATATGCCTAACTTCCCTTCCTCTAATCCCATTAAACTAAGCAGTTGTTTCATAACTTTGCTTCTAGCAAAGTTTGCCTCTGGGGAAAAATTTATTAGATGAGCCAATGATTTAGTCTCCCAGCCATAAGAGCTCTCATTATAGATTAACTTAGTGGTTCCCAAAGTGTGGTCTTGGACCATTAGCATTAGCATCACCTGGGAACTTAGAAATGCAAATTCTTTGGCCCAGCCCAGACCTATTGAATTAGAGACTCTGACATCAGGGCCCAGAAATCTGTGTTTTGACAAGCCTGTCAGGTGATTCTGTTACATGCTGACGGTTTAGAGACATTGGATTAATTTATATTCTTAGGACTCTTTAAAAAGGTAAGTAAGCAACCTTGAGACTGGTCAACTCTGACCGAGCAGACTAAAGGCCAGACTCTGGTCCATGGTCATAAATGAATACAAAAGGGTCCACTTGTGAGGTTTCCTGGTGGGCCTCTTCAAGTGAAAGCCCGACCTTGTTTTGCTTATTTTCTATGCCTATCATTGAACCAGAGTAGGATGTTGTCTAAACCATGTCATTATTGACATGCAAACATGTCATTTAACACCTGCTACCTGTGTGTTTAGTTGGGTAAGAAAAAGGAAAGAAGGTAAAACGGAAAGGATTTAAAAAGGCAATCTCAGGGAGAGCAGCAGTAAGTGCTCAACTTGCACAAACAGTAGACTTCCAGGCTTTGAAGTCATAATCATATAAAATATGAATTTACTCAAGAGTCTTCTAGCACTTTACACTCATGACTTAAGAAAATGTAGAGAAGAACCAGTATACTAACAAATTAACTTAGAATAAGCACAAAGAAACACACCTTTCAGTATTCAAGGAGGAAAAATATGCAGAACATTTAGCAGTTACAAATAGATCACAAAATATTAGATTTATTATCAAATTTGTTTTATGATGGAATAAAGAGCAAAGACAAATATTAACTTACCATAGATTCAATTCTTCCACTCAAAGTCCTATATTCCTGTGTACCTGGTGAGTTTAACTGATTACTATATTTGACATTTAGGATTTGAAAGCTGCTGTGGTAAAAGTATGACTTTTGATCTGTAAAACAAAGAAAAGGAGAATCACTCACTACTAAGTACTTTAAACCTTAATTTATTCAAGATTATAGGATGCTATAGTATACAATTAAAAAATTGCTTCTCTTAAAGAAAACCCCAAACTTACTATAAATGTAACTATAATAAAATTATTTTTCTTTCAGTTTTTAAAAAAATTGACAGATCTGAAATTGTTAAGGATGTAGGAAAATCAGAGCAGCATTATTTGTGAAATTAAACTGCTCAGAAGTATCATAATTTTCATTTTTCCTATATTTTAGGGAGATCTGTGATTGCAGATTTATTCATTCAAGAAGTATTAATGAATGTCTATAATATGCTATTATTCATTTAACACTAAAGAATAACCCAAAGTTATTCTATCCCAAAACTATTCTGAATAGTTTTAAGAATGGTTTCAAATAATAATCATTTTAAGAACTTAGTGACTTGTTAGTTTTTTAGAATAAGCTAGAAAATAAGACTTTGAACAAGATAACTAATTGGTTGTCCAGTGTGAATTGTTTCTACCAAAGAATGTCTGCCAGAGGACATATTCATCTGGGTGAAGAAAATAAATATTTCTAAAACACACTGTACACATCTTAGAAACATTATGAACATGGACATAATAACCTAACCTGTCTTAGGAAAAATCCCTGCTTTCTTTTGATCACTCGTAAGCATAATTTATGCAGAGAAGTACCTCCATCAGGGGCAAGAATTAGAGATCCTGGGGGAAGGGTAGTATAGTCCTTTGTGGTGGAGGAATAAGTCTTTCAAGGGCCATAAATGGTGCAGAGGATGACCTAGACTCCTCCACTTGTGGGACGATACAGTGCCACTAAGAGTGAAAATTCACTAATTTAATCGGAATCTTGAGGTTTCTTGGCTCTGTAATCACCTTAGAGGTAGTTGATTCCAGGTAATTTGATAGCAAAATGTAGCCACAATTTTATGATTAGCTTGGCTGAAAAGATTATTCATTATTACTGGTTTTCCTAATGTTGGTAATTTTATTGCGCAATTGAGAGTTTTTCAACTTTCACATAAATAAGCATTTTTGCCTATTTACAATAGAACATATAATAAATTATGTTCTCTCTGTCTCTCTATACCCATACATACCCGTATACTTACTTACACACACCCCCACATGTAGGATTTAAATGATTTGACAGAATTAAAGCTGAAATAAAATAATCCCAAAGTGCATTTTTAAGTGAAAAAAGCAGATTATAGCATATATTATCTAGTGAATTTGACACATTTTCTTTATCCACATGAAAGCATCTGAAAGAATGTTCACTGAGATATTAATGAATGTTGTTTATGAGTAAGCAGGGTATCATGTGTTCTTTATATTGTTTCTTGTCCATGCGTCCTATATTTTTGTGATATAATAATACTAAGAGAAATAATAAAAGAACAGATCCTTTTTAAAATTTGTTTTTACTCCTCATCTTTCTCCCAAGACTGTTTTATCAGGAGAAAGATCATGAATTAACAAATACTTCCAAATTTTTAATGTTGAAACTTAAAATTCTTTGCACTTTTAAAAGTGAATATTTCACTTTTACAATTTCATCAGGTTGTTATATGAAGAAGGAAATCATGATATTAAAAGAGAAAACAAAATAGACAAATTCTAGTGTCAGAAAAGAATCAAGAGATTTTTTCCTTTGGCTAGAATAATTCTTGCCTAGGTAATAAGGGTTTATTATGCTAAAAAAAAGAGAATAGAAAAAAGTACTGATTGAGGGAAAATATAGACACAGACGTATATTTAGGGATATATAAGACATACAATTATGTTATATTAAAAAATAAAAGTGGTAATAAAAGAGAGAATGTCAAACTTTTCATTTGTTTGAAAAGTGGTCCTTTTAGTGTCCTAGTACTTACCAAAAGCTAAAAAGTAGATGAGTAGAGCTATGGTAACCGCCAAGATTACCACGCTTGCCACAACAATGAAACACACTACATATGGATTCAGGAATCTTGAGGTTGATGGCACCCGTGCTGGCCTTAAAACAAGAGAAAAGACTAATCAAAGACTAATCCTTTCACTCAGAGAAGCCATTATTTCAGTGCTTTTGAACATTTTCTGCCTTCCTATGTGTTTCAGCCTGAACATAGCTCTATTTATAGGAAACGTGATTCTTGATCAGAATATAATCCTGGAAATGAACCTGAACTAACAACATTCTCCTTAATGACTTTCAATTTTTTTTTCAGCACAAAAATGCTGACATTTTGGTAGTTTGATAGAAGAATAAGTAAATTGAACCTATGCTTTGCAATTATTTTCCCTTCTTCTGCTGGTTGACGAGGTTCGCAAGAGTAACAACTAATTGTGCTGTTTTGCTGTCTTTCCAAGACCCTATGTTGGACACTTACTATTGTAAAGCTCCCTTAACTGGGTACCATCCTTAGTGGTGTACAGAAGAGGAGTCATTCTGGGTGGGGAGAGGTGTGGGGGGAGTCAGAATAGTAGCATATTCTGCCTGTCATATTCTCGTATATTATCAAAACTGGGGGTGTGACCAGAGGTTGAGTGCTCAGGTCCAGGACAGTAGCAAGCCCCTGAAATGAATTAGAACTATCCCAACAGCAGATGATTTGTGTGACTTATTATTTTTCCCCCATGAATTTATCAGCTGCAGTGTAAGCCAATAGATTTGTACTAATACAGTATCTGGTAACTATTAGGCATATGGCCCAGGTACTGTCTTCTTCACTGCCTCCTTCCCCACAACCACATACACTTGCACTAGGGAGGTAACCAGAAGAGGTAGGTGTGAATTTCTGTTTTCTCCCTTGTTTGCGTGGAGGTCATATTGTCATTCATCTGAGACTTTCCTAGTCTGACAGATGGGATTAATAATATCTGCCTCACAGGCTGTCTTGAATATCAATGAGGTTATGGTAGGAAATATATTTCTAGTTAAATAGGTTATCTCCTAGGCTGTGTGCCTCTGGAGGGGAAAGACAGTATGCATGCTTATGTTTCAGACACTTTGCCGGGTGCCTGCCATAAATAGGTGGTTCATAAATATTTATATTTATAAATATTTGTTGCATGTGTTAACTTCTGAGCATATTTCAGATTTAAGACCTTAACATAGCTGAAAAACATTTACATTTAGCAAGAATATAGTCTCTCATTTTTCCTATTTGTTTTGCCAACCTTCCAGTATAAGTGTGAAGAGAATGCTCTGAGGGTCAGTGATTCGCAGACATTTAGGTTTCATAGCAGGGCTGTCTGATGTTGTTTGGGTTCTCCACAACTCAGAGACTCATAGCGGGGCACTTCCTGGTATGTATTTTGCAGTGTACCATGTGCACATCGTTTTCTGTGGTTCTGGGACCAGTAACATATCAAGAGATTGTTGGAGGCAGACCGAGACTTGCCAACTTTCAATTTTGTTGAATAAACACATTAATCATACAAAAATTGACCATGCTCAAACATTATCATTTAATGAAGGGGCATTTAAGAGGCTAGAAGTAGGAAGGATTGTCTCAGGCTAACAAAAAATGAATGATGTATCTTTAGCTTTATATCTTTTTACTACATTGCTCTTCTTTGTTCATTTTGCTATACTGGTCAAAACTGACTTTCACTGACACTGGTCCAGAATCCAACATTTGGAAACCACTACTGCGGTAAACGTCAAATTGGAGGAAATTGGCACTTTGACATTTGCTGATTTTTGAGACTCAATTTACTCACGTGTTACCTTATGTGGTCACTGTGCCTATGACATGCAATCACAAATGCATGGTGTTTGGCATTTGTGATTTCAAAATGTTAGTGGCTGCTGATTAATGGCAGAGCCAAAAGGAGACAGAGTTGGAGTCCAGGGTAAACCCAAAAGCCTGAATAATTTCCAAACTGATTGATCCTTCTCCTCAACCAGAGATGAACTAATGTGTCAAGACTTACGAGTGTGGAGAGAGAAGTACTGAAAAAACAGGAAGTAAGTTGGAGGCCGAGAAACAAAAACCAAAGGTTAGAGTCAGCATGTGCTGCTTTAGCTTGGATGAGGCTCCCATGGGAATGACTTTAGCGCCAACTTCGCTTCAGTTCATGGAAAACACCTTAAACTCAATGACTAAAAAGCACCATGAAACATATGACTCAATAAATAAAGGGTGTGGAGCTCAAATCACCTTAATCTCACAAGCCATAATTAATTGCATAAGAATGGGTTGCTCCACCCTGTAGAAACAGCTGAAGAAATATCTACTCTCTTGCTGGTAATGCAACTTGTCATTGAGCCTCTGTATGTGGTTGATTACAAAGCTTATGCCAACACAAACTAAATTGTGCATAATATTTACTTTGTAAACTATTAGAGATAACATGTTTGCAAACACTGAATTTTGACTCAATGCAATGGAAATCTGTGCAAGAAAATACTTTGCTTTTAAAACCAGTTCCTGACCACTGAGATTTTTAGTGCTTGCATTTGAACAAAGCAAAACAAATAATTCAGTTGTAACATGTTTAACCGGCTTCCCCCTTTTGTTTGCTCTCTTTTATTAACTTGGAAAAGTTACAGTAATGTTGAAAAACTTATTCTATAGTTTTGAGAGTCTAAGTGTCAGGCATTGCACATGTATAGTGCCAGTCTTCAAAACTGTAAAGCAGGTATCATGATCCCTGTTTTGAAGATAGGGAAACTGAGCCTCAGAGAGTAAATACCTCAAAATTACTCAAGAGTGACAGCTGAAAATTGAAACTAGGTTGCTTTGAATCAAAGCACATGCTCTTCCTTTCACATATACTTCCTCCCTCGTACTATAGGAGACAGGAAGGTTTCGGGACTCCTTATCTCTTCTGACTTCATTTGGGGGAAGCAAATGGGATCAACACCCATCGAGTGCTAGGACTATGTCGTACATATAGTAAATGTGCAATAAAATAATTGTTGATTTAATTATAACTTGAAAGTAAATCTTACATTAATATATCAAAATTATTTAGGAATATTAATTAATCTTTGCCATTGACACATAGTTACAACCAATATAGGGCTGTGGATTAGTAGAGCCATTGGCAACAATGTCCATCACCTGCAAGAATGGAGGAAAACAGTGACAGGGTAATTGCAAGTTCAGATGCAAATGCATATCAAGGACTTTTAGACAATTTTGTATCCTTTTAAATTAGATTTCAGGTATCAAGGTAACAAAGATTTGGTCCACAGTTGTCTTCTCCTGCAAAGCATTCTTCCTCGATAATCCCACTTTATGCCATAGTTTCAGCAAGCATGCCATAGGTAACATTTCCTAGGATAGATCCTCAGCCCAGCCCTGTCTTTGAGCTTCATCCCGCCATCGCTGGTTATCTCCAGACATCTTCTGGATGCTTTACAACCTTCTTACATGTGGGAGGTCTGGGAATGGGGTGAAGGTGGAATATTTTCTCCCTGGATGTTTACCAGTCTCAGAGGATTCCAACCATCACTTTGCACCACGAAGCCTTGATTGGTGTTGCCAGTTGTCCTTCCAGGGAGAGATTTTGCAACCCTTGGGCTGAAAGGAAGCTGTGTGTGTGTGTGTGTGTGTGTGTGTGTGTGTGTGTGCATGTGTGTGTGTGTGTGTGAGAGAGAGAGAGAGAGAGAGACACTCATGCATTGTCTTCTGCTATCTTTTTATTTAGGTTGGGGGTGCAGGGAGGCCGTAAGTAGGGGAAGAGAGACAGGATGGGTTCATTGTCTCTGAAGTGAGAGCTTCCTTTCGCTTTCTCTGTTGCCTGAAAGCTTTGGGTCTGGAGGCCTGACCATCAGGCCATGAGTTGCCCAAGTATGAAACCTGGAAATGGTGGGTGATACCCAAGCCACAGCCTTTTTGTCTTTGGGGAACTGCTTTCTTGAGAGGGAAGGAGGTGGGGGCTGTGAATTGGTTGTTAGTTTCTGAGTTTTACCAAATAAAGTAGAATCTAAGAAGAAAAAAAAAAAGAAACTCTCCTTGAAACTGAACTTTTCCCCCAGTACTACACTCCCCACTATTTCTAAAATTGGTGAATTGATTCACTGCTATCTACCTGGTACCCGAAGTTGGAGACCTAGATATTAGCTGCACTTGCTCTCTTGGTCTTTCTCACATTCAAGAGGTCACCACACAGTCCTTATCTTACACCTGAATCTTTTCTTTTCTATACCCTCTATTTTGTTCTTAATTTTGACTGTTATCAACTGACTTGTATTACTTGCAATGCCTCTTAACTGGTCTCCCTTTCATTAACTATGCAGTCATTAATTAGTTAATGCAAGACACATTTGGTGAGTGACTTCAGTGTTCTAGGTGCTGGAATACAATGAAAAGAAACAGACAAACAGCAGTCCTAATGGTGAAGGGAGAAAGAAATGAGTAAGTAAAATAAGGGGAAAAGGCAGAGAGGTGGGAAAGGAAGTGTGTATGTGGTGCTGAAAATTTAGGTAGAGTGGCCAAGAAAGGCCATGCTGAAAAGGTTACATTTGAATAAAGACCAGAAGCAGGTGAGTGAGCAAGCTATGAAAGTACCAGAAGAATGATTTCAGCAGAGGGTAAGAGCAGGCCCTGAGCCAGGAGCTCACCTGGTAAATTTGAGAAACAGCAAGGGGGACAGCGAGATGGGGGTGGAATGAGCAAGATTTTGTTTCATTCAAATCAACCCTTTCAAATCCATCCAGGGAGTTTTTTGAATATAAGTCTTAGGTTCTGACACTCAGCCCTTCCCCTGCCTCATTTGAAATGTATCTATAGCTTGTCAAGATCCTCAGGATGGCATCCAAACCTTCCACATGGCACTGAAAGCCTTCATAGTCACCTCTGCATCTTCAGCTTCTGCCATATCCTCATCTGCCCACTTAACCCCAGCCAGCCCGAATGGGACAGCGACTTCTGTGTGTGATGACTGCCTAGAAAACCTCATACCTCAACTGCCCCATAGATTCCCATTTTGTTCTTAAGGGATTTCAGCCATCTTTCTTTCCCTCCAGGTAGATACTTTCTTCTCCCCTAGTTTCCCCTCATC